TGCAATTCAAAATCAAAAGTGCACCAGTTTGCCCTTCTACTGCGAAATAAGTATTTATTGTGCATTCACTTCTAGAAGTTATGGACTATTCCTATTTTGCTTCAAATCGGATTTCCTAGTTAAATCTGGAAGTATTGTAAAAAAAAAACTATTTTTTTATCTCTCTCAGTTTTCCTTTTTTCCGGATCATTCCTACTTGAGTATTGGAGGTGGTGTTTCTTTTTGAAGAGTTCTAAGAGCATTAAAACAGTTACTTGTACTCTTCATGCCACGTTTGGGCCTTAGTTGGCAGTGCAACTAATCTGAACATGAGACGCCAAATTACAGTTCCTCGGCGGCGCTAAGATTAGCGATCACAATATGAGGTAGCCATCGTAGAAGGGAGGTGGGTGGCTTGAGATCATAGGTTCGATACTTCAGAGACTAGACAACAAAAGTGATGGTGTTTTAACTGAGGAGCCTTGCCAAAAGTGATGGTGGTTTTTGACATACTGTGGAAGCTGAAGAGGAAACAAGGAAATTTTCTTGATTCAAAAAGCAATCAGTGGGAAGCTTTTTTGAGTCAATGAAAAATGTTGCAAAAATGACATAACACTTCCTTCAAACATTCTCCGATCATTTTCTTCGTCTTCCTTCCTTTTCGTGCATATACTTCCATAAAATTGTGGAGCTAAAGCCGTCTTATCACATAGAAGTGAAATTGTGAATAATATTGACATGATTCAACGTGTTTTAACGTGTTTGACACTCTTACATCCTTGAGCAGTCATTTAAATTTTGAATTTTCGCGCTTTATTTGCATACATTTTTCTCTTTGGGACCAACTAAGGGTGGAAAACGGCGGGGGAAACGCGGAGAAAACTAAAGAGATTTATGGGATTAGAGAGTGGTCACGTAAGATGCATGGTAGTGTCCTCAAACTATAAAGTTTAAGCGCTGAGAATGAGACTCAAAGTAGTATCATTCCTCTTACTTTTAAATGAAAAACGACTTCAAGAGAAAAGTCGTTTTCGCATGTTTCCTTTAAATTTTTCCCTTAAATTTAAGATTTCTGAAAGTTGCGCAGTTGTCTACGTTCTACAGCGCAATATTGCGAACGGAATGATGTTAAGGTTATGATAGCCTAATCACAAGAAATCTCCAGAAAGTCATAAAAAGAAATACGGGTTTTTTGATGCGTCCTTCAAAATAATTCGCTGGATATTTAGAACTGAAAGTTGCGCAGTTATCAGCTGTATTGTGAATAAAATTTCCTGTCGAATGAGAGGAAATACGGGATCAGAAACTTTAATTTGGTTTAAAAATCAAGGAAAACAAAAAACACGGTTTTTCTTATTTTTTTCACACAGACCAAAAAATTGAACGTTGCGCAGTTGTCTGTTCAAATATACGTTTTAAAGCCTTCATAATGATATACGATTTGCTTACATTAATTTGTAAATAACGGAGAAAAGGGTACCAGAGCCAAATGCCCCGTGGAAAACGCTTGATTGCGTAGAGAGTGTGCAATTTTGAGAGGCGGCGGAGAACGACCAGAGCCAACGGGGCTGGCTTATCTCGGCCCCTATTCAACGAAATCTCCAACATTCATATATCATTCTGCTCGGAATCGTATGGAGAATCCAGCTGAC